ACCAATGTCAATGAGAGCTTGCTCTCGCCGCCACCAGCACAAGAATCGAGTCCCTTCTCCCTACTTGGCACTCAGCGCCCAGCCTACTTCCTACTTAGTTACAATCCACCTACTAATAGACAATGCAACTGTTGACGTCAGCAATAAGACCTATGTACTTGAAAATGTCGACTCATACAGACCATCGACAAATACCAGGGATGTGCTTACACATCATCATCATCATCATCATCCCTCTCTCTTGCACATTCACACACAAATGCACACGTGGTTTATGTTGCTGCTCGCCATAGAGGTCACAAATGGTTTCATTGTTGGATCAGCTCATCTTTAGCGTGCTTCATTGTCTGCAAGATGGTTAAGTTGCATCGATTTTGAATCTACTCGTCTGAGTGAAACAGGGGCCGTCAGGGTGTCACTCTACAACACTCAGACACATAGTGTCACACACACACACAACGAAACACACACAGATATAGTGGTGTATATTTCCTCGTGCTAGCAATAGATTCATTCGATTTTGCTCATCCTATCGATGGAAGTACCACAAGACCCGCGCGAGATCAGCACTCATACACACACACACACACACACACACACACACACACACACACACACATACACACACACGCACACACACACACACACACGGGCGCAACCAAACAAGAAAGTGAGGCAGTGTATATTTTCATGTTCTAGCCGTAGATTCATTCGGTTTTGCTCATCCGTAGGTTGAAGTAGTGTGAAGTTGTTGCGCGATCGGCACATACTCACACACACACGTGTAGCAGTAGCGCAAATTTCCTTGTTCTAGTGGTAGATTCACTTGTTTTTGCTCGTATCATGGATGGAAGAAGTGCGAATCAGTCGTGCAACACACCCTCACTCACACACTCACACACTCACACACACACGTACGCTCACACGCACGCGTGCAGTAGATTATATTTCCATATCCTTGTGACAGATTCGTTTCGTCCTACCGATGATAGTCCCATGAGCCCGACCGCGATTAACACACACTCATACATGCACACATACACACACGATCGGTGAAGGTCCGATGAAACAGCGTGGCATGGTCATGCTTTTCTTTGTGGAGTTGTGTATAGCAGACATGACAACACACGCGAACCCACTCATACACACACACAAGCGTATATACACACACATACGTGCACACTCACACCCACACACACACACACAGATACATACATACCCAGACACGTATGTACTCACTCATACACAAGCATGCACGTAGTAGAATAGATTTTTGCGTTATATTTGTAGATTCATTATGATTTTGTTGTTATATTCATAGGAATACTATAAGGTGAGTCATGTGATTGAGGACTTACCTGTCCCTCTCTCTCGCTCCGTCGTCGTCGTCATCATCGTCGTCGTCAACACTATACCTGCGCAACCTGGGAAACCATCCCAAGCACATTGCAGAGAGCCTCTCGTAACTTAGATACAAGATTCCAAACCCCATGCTCGGAATGTTGTCATCACCGACTGCAAGGAAGACGGTAAGATCCCTCTCTTCCCCTCTCCTCCTCCTTCTTCGTGCGCCTTCCTCCTCACCTTCCTCCCTCTGAGACTCATGCTACTCTACAATCACACGCCGCACTCGCACAATGCTACCGGAACGCATGCTCGAATGCTACACAGCTCGGCGTACACAAGTAGGAGGGAGGGATGGAAATAGAGAATGACCTCAACAGTGTAGAATGATGTCGTGTATGATGAGGGTGATGGCCACTATTGAAGACATCAACGACGACAACCTCCTTCCTTTAAATGATAAAGTTCAATGAACTTCTCACGCACCCCCATAAACAAACCGTCGAGATCGTCGCGGCCCATACGCTTCCCCGGACGATTCAATCGGTAGGAGCGACGAACTGTGTGTACAAAGGGCAGGGACGTAATCAGCGCGAGTTGATGATAACACTTACTGGGCATTCATCGTTAAAGAGCAATAATTACGAACAATCTATCCCTGTCACGATGAACCTTAAAAGCGTTACTCGGGTCTTTCGACCCAGGCAAGCAACTTGCTGGATTGATCGGTGTAGCAAGCGTCCACACAGGTAAGAACTTTGTCTCTCTCTCTCACACAAGCCCAAACGACCGCAATCGGTCACACGCACACACACAATCATATGTATTCGCGTATACCTCCATAGTCTAGTGATAGGTTCTTTCAATTTTGCTAATCTTGTTGACAAAAGTAGAGCAAGGTCGCCACGCGTTTTCCATACACACACACACAAACACTTTCACACATATACAAACGTATACACTCACACTTTCACACACACAGGCGGTAGTAGTGATGGATTCTCTCGTCCTTGCTCATCTTATAGATGTGGGGAATCACCATGCGATTCACTTATACTCACTCACACACACACACACTCATATATGCACAGTCGAGCAAACAAGTGTGGCAGTTTACATTTCAATATTTTAGCGGTAGACGCACTCGATTTTACCCATCTTATCGATGGAAGTACCATGAGGTCAGATGTGGGTTTGGAGACTTACCTCTTGGCATGTGCGTCCTTCATCCTATCGATGGAAAACTCTCCTTCACATGGTAAGTGGTGATGCGGGGTCGTAGGAACCTGCATCGTCGCTACATGGCCTCACTCGGATTGCGAGGAGCACAGATCCTCCTCAATCAATCACAACACCTCCCAACAAAACGCATCATTATAAGTGAGAATACGAACTCGACACCTCCGTAAGCCGCTATCGCGCTCCTTGAAACCCCAGGGATGACAGGTACGTCACCCTCTGACCTTCTCCCTTCCTTCTTCTCTCTTCCTCCGTTCTTCCTAGCAAGGTCTCCTTCTCCATCCCCCTTGCTTTGCGCATCGTGCCGCCATTCTATCTTCCATATCTGCGTTCTCCTTGTTGCTTTCGCTCGTGCTGCTTCTGTCCTTGCTCCACGCTAGTTATGCCGCCATTTTCACCCGCTCTTTTTCTCCTACCCCTCTCTCTCTCTAAGCGCCCCCTCGTAGTTGCTTTCCACGTAGCGATCGGTCGCCACTTCCCCGAGCTACCTTCTCGATTTCGATCCGGACTGCATCATTTTGAAAAGGCCTGGAAGGTCGTGGAATGTCTCACTGGTCGGCCTGTGTTTCCCTCAACCAACTGGCGCGATGAAAACTGCCTGGACCCCAAATACGATATTGACAGCTTAGGGCCTCTCGTGATTTGTTAGGCCCGCCTTCACTTAGGCGGGCGCATCTGCTGCAAGATGCCCCTTAGGCCTGCTGAGGACCCAGCTCCTCGCACGTATCTCATCCTGTGATATAACCAAAGCTCTTTTTTATAATTAAAAAAACTGTGTACCGCACAAGCGCGGAAGCGCAGCCACTCAGGAGCGAGACCGGCCGGCGGGCAGGGCTTGAAGCGCACCGAACGAAAAGGATTGTGAACGGGCCTGGGCACACCACTCTTGAAACGGGCCCATTCTCGGGACGTCGCCACGCTCCACTTAGCACGGCAACAACCTGGTTGTTTTTTGTGCTTTTTTTCGTTTTTCGTTTTTCCATTTCGAAAGCAAACTCACAGTAGCACGCATTTTGCAAGCCAACATTCTGCTGTGCACACCTCCAAACCCACTTCGGCCCAGCCTTCCGAAAATTGCACCCTCGCGCGACATCGCCCGAAATGGAAAACCGGCCGCCGTCCATGAAAACGGCCCGCCGACCGCTTTTCGTGACCGATGGTCTGCCCCCCTCCAACCGCACTCGTGACCACCCGGCCTATCGGTCTCTGCCCCAACAGCGACCACACCCTTCAATTACCCATGTTACCGCCCTATAAACCCCTTCCGCCGTCGTCGACATCTCCTGAAAAAGACATCCTCGCTATGCGACAAAATGCAACCGGGTATAGCGCAGCCTCCTGGCTGCGAATTGCTCCGATCTATTCCTGCGGCACGGTTCCACTAGCACACGAGTCATGGCCTATTTGGACCTGTGCGGCACTGTAAGAAAAGGAAGAAAAGTAATTTTAAAGACTTCAAAAAAGAAAAATGGTGACGTTACATTTCCCAAGCTGGGAAGCAGGCCGACTTTTGAAAGTGCTGCCGTCCCACTAACCCTCCCGTCTCCTCGCCCTGCTCCCCACCCAGCCAATGCCTGATCAGGACAGAGTGGTACGTGACTGTTGCAGTCTCACGTACCACCGCGAGGGAGTCCTTTCGTGTGCCTGATGGGACTCCCTTCTCTGACGGTTGCCATGCTGAAGCGTGCATTTCACATATTTTGAGAGAAAATCGAAGTACTGGATTGGGTTAACGATTGACCGGGAAAAAGAAGGGGTTCAAAACCATGCCCTTCGAGTACTTGATTTTTTTAAATCTTTTGAAGAGCTGCCAATCAAAATGAGTCTTTCTATTTTCTTTTTCGGGTTTTCCCGCCTCCCATTCCTGGGAACTGGAAAAAAAAAAAAAAACACCACTTCAGAATATAAATCCCCCGCAATTTCTCTGCCATCCGAACCTCCTGCATCAGTGGTCGGACGATGTCCCGCAGATATCCCAAAGGTGTTTGTTGGACACAGTTTACCTTACTCCTTTGCTAGAGGAACCGTGCTCCTGGGGAGCAGCCTGTGCTCGGAACCGGGCCCAGCATCTCTTATTGAACTTTTCTTACAGATCAATTGAGATACCAGAGAATCCCCAGCGGAAAAAAAAAAGAAAAAAAAAAAGGGGAGGGGGGGAAGGGGCAACTTGGCGCAGTCACGAACACAGTTTCAAAATGCATTTCAGTCATCCCTCGAACATAACACACCCCCACCGGACCCTAAAGCTAGCTTGTATACATTCAACATTTTCAGCGTTTTGCCTAGAATGCATTTTGAAACTGAAGAAAAACCGTGACTGCGCCCTAGTTCCCCCCCCCAAAAAAAGATACCGGGTAATGCCATTACCCGGCTTCGGCAGAGGACTACTGGAATATTTGTGAAAAGCTTCGGAACAGGTAAGGAATGTTAAAAAAAAAAAACAAAAAAAAAACAGGAAGTTGGTAACAGATACAACTGCCAAATAGTGAGAATCAGCATTTCTTTTCTTTGGAGCCCAAGCCAACTAGGAAAAACAAAACACAAAAATGAACATCAGTTAGGCCCTCCCTGCGAACCCTGTTCTCCTCAGTTTGGCACGACTTACTACATCAGAGCGTCGTTGTGCCCTAGAACAGTCCAAGAGTACGTAATACACCCAGTCACGAACCACCTAATTGCTCCAATGCTCCGTCTATTGGTGGGGAGCATGATACCCCCTACCTAAATTTCTCAACCAAAAAAAAAAAAAAAAAAAAAAAAAACCACGAACCACCTGATTGCGAAAACATGGGAATGTCTTCAGGTATATCCACAGGTGATCAGCCCTGGGTAATTCAGAGTCGTTGTTTTTTTTTTTTTTTTTTTTTTTTTGGGGGGGGGGGGCCCAAATGCTCCACTCTATTTGCTGTCTCTTATACACATCTAGATGTGTATAAGAGACAGATATAGGGGGGAGAGAGAAAAAAAAAAAAAAAGTGAGAAGAGCGCAGGGTGGTCTCTGACACAAGGTTTTCGTCGGGAAGGTGGTGATTAGTATAGAACAAGTGGGAGCGAGGCAACGATTTTTTGCGGAGGGGAGAGGAGAGTGTAGTCGCGTGAAGGGGTTGATATCTGTGCTTTGTACCATGGTGGGCAGGTGCGTGGTCGTATGGTGATCGTATATGAGATGAAGGAGATGCGAGATTGTTCGTATGACAGACATTTTGAGTTTGTGACGTCCGTCACCAGGCATTCGGTTCGCCATTACGAGGTGGATGCTCGTGGAGAGTTGGTGTTACATATAGTGGTGGGTCTAGGATATGCGGGGAAGAGCTTCGCGATGTTACAGTTTTTGTTACGAAAACGCATGACGACATCCCGGATGCTCGCGTGGGTGCGGGGGAGGATATTGTGGACAGGATTGTTCGTATGTTGTTATCAGTACTGGTGGCTGAACATGATGGCAGGATGGCGTCTTTCGCCGAGTGGGGAGCCGAGCTTGATGCGTCGTTGGTGGGTCGGCGTTATATGCATGGGGAGCTGACGTTGGATATGGGGTTGTGAGTTGATGGTCAACTCGTTTGAAGGGAACTGAAGTGGGGGTCTATTTGCTAGGTGCATTTACTTCTATTTGTTTATTATGTGGTGATGAGGGTGGTTTATGATGCTGTCCTGTTGGTGTGGTAGTCATGCGGGAGCGGTTATTTCCGTTATTTTTTTGTATACATTAATGTGGTAGATCTTTTGCAACGGAGCTTTTTTAGGAGTTTTCGCACCTGGCGTAAGGTTGTGCGTAGTATATTTGCGGTCGTGTATCCTGAGAGGAAGGTGGCGAGAACTATCTTAGGTGTATATACAAGGGAGCTGGGACTTGTTAGGGATGGATTTTTTTGTTTGTTTATGTTGTTTTGGAGGGTAGCTATATCCTCCTCGATCTGTGTTTATATAAGATGGAGGGGATGAACATTTTTCGATCTTCGTGGATATATTGTTGTTTGTTAGTCGGGGTAGGGGTGTGCAATCTGTTTTGGTAGCTAGGTGAGTAGATCTTTCTATGGTGGGGTCCCCGTGAGTACTGGTTGTGTGGGGAGCACGAGGAGGTGCAACGTTCATAATTGTGTTTTTCATCGAGTATGTGTAAATAGATAGGGATAGTGTGAGTAGTTATGGAAAAAAAACATCAATAAATGTGAGGCAATGATGAATTTTATTTAGCCTTAGGCACCAGGGTAGGGTTGGATCAAGACGTAGTTGCAGAGAGTTGTAAACTCATACTATGGGTGATGAAAAAAATTCGGACGGGCAATGTACCAAGAAAGATTAATAGTCGCATATGAGTGCAGTTAGGGCTGTTTTTGTCCAATATTGGTTTATTAGAAGTTTTATTTTGCGTGGATGTGTATATATATATATATATTTTATCTATATATACTTAAAAAAAGGAAAGAAAATGAAAAAAAAATGGAAATGAAGTAATGAGTTAAATACAAAACTCGGAGAAGAGAAACAGTGGAATCATTCGAGGTGTAATGACTTGCCGGATTTTTTGATAACATCAATTGGTTGTGTGTTGTTGTTATGGATTCTTACGCGCATAAGTGTGCTTTAAAGGATATAGCAATATATCTACCAAGAGTAGTCAAGGCTTGGGTCATTTCTTGAGTGCGTTGGAGGGTACGGGATGAGGGGATTATAGAGAGAGTTTTGTGGGGGAGTTCGTAGTATGTGGGACTATTGGTTGGAAACTGGACGATTTTACAGACAGGGTTATTAAGGATGGCATTTTTTTAATCAAGGTTTTCTTACCACTGCATTTCGCAGTTTCCCAGGTAGCCATTATACGACCGTTATTGGTCTGTGTATATTGTTGTATCCTCCAAACGAAAAGAGTGTGGCACATTTAGCTTCACATAAGGGTGTTATATATTGGTGAGAGTTGTTTAAGGTTGGACAAATGTGAGGGTGAAATTCTTTGTGATACGGATTAAGCCAGGACTAATAATCGTAGTTTGTACTAAGTAATTTCCAGGATGGGGAGCAACCAACACTAATACTTTGCAGAGGAGATATGCTTAATAGGAGCTAGGATAATTTTTTCTTTGGGGGGGGGGAAACGATGATGATCTGTGGGGGTGTTCACTGGGCGATCACCCGGAAGTGTTTGCTGTTTCATAAGTTTTAGTTTTGTGTGTTGATTTGCAATCATAAGCGCCCTAGGCCGTATGCACGGCGTCACGAATTACACATTGCTTCTGAGACGTTTTTTTAATAAGAATGGTATCATACCATTGGTAATAGTGGAAACATACATCCCCAATATAACAGCTGCATCATCTACTAGGTGTTTTATCATAGAAGCGTGCTTATTGTCCCTTCCACATACGATCCTTAGTAGTAAGTTATACTTCTCATCGCCTCATTAACAATCTGTAAGATAATGAAGTTCACCCACGGAATGCTTATAACACGATTCATCGTCCAGACACATTGGTTTCTACCCTCGAGCATAGAATGTTACTCAAGGCCATCCGCACACAATTAAGCGTTTATCAAAATCCAATATACAACAATTACTTATCAACAAACTAGCCCGAAGTTGCTTACTCCAATCAGATCTGTACTATCATGATTTTTCTGGCTCGCGATCATCATTAACAGGATATACGACCCTTTTTAATAATAACCAATTATATTGCCTATACAATGCTTGAATTCCGTTCCATGTAGCTTAGCTTGTATATATAATATTTTTTCTACCAAAAAACTTTATATCAATAGAATGCACGGTGCTGCGAATTACAATTGCACATTGCCTCTAAAAAAGTACCATACCTTTGGTGACAACGAAAAAATAAAACTCCAGTTATAACAATTGCATCTACTAGTAGGCAATTTTTCATGGCAGCATGCTTATTGTCCCTTCCACTATTGTGCTATCTCGCATATGCATGGAATACGGTAGTCATATGATTCTTAGTAGTAGATTATACTTCTTATCGACCTTTTATAAATATGTAAGATAATTAAGCACACCAATGGCCTGCCTATAACATCATTGAGACTCATTGGCTTCTACCTTTGATTATGAAATGCTACTCAAGGTCATCCATACATAACTAAATGTCCATCAGTTCCAATATTCGGCATTTACTATCAACAAATGAGCCCGAAGTAACTTTCTCCAATTAAATCAATACTATCCCGATTTTTTACGGCTCGCGATCAACATTAGCAGGATCTATGATCCCTCATAACCTACTAAATCGCCCATACAATGCTTAAATTCCGCCCCATGGATTGCCCTCACTTGCAACTTATCTTTTATATATATATATATATATATCGTTACGAACAGCACTGCCCGGTAACCCGTGGGGAGAGAGAGAGAAAAGAGGACAACAAACGAGGGGCTGTGGCAAACTGATTCGTCGGAGTTTCACTGATTCTTATATATATATATATATATATATATATATATATATATATATATATATATATATATACAATATATTTTTTTTTACCAACTCTAAATCAACAGAATGTAAGGTGCCACGAACTACAATTGCTTATGAGATGTTTCTTATAAAGGAAGTACCATGCCTCTGGTAATAACGAAAACATAAAATTTTGGATGTCTCAATTGCTTCTTCTGCTAGGCGATCCATCATAGTAGTGTGCTTATTATCCCTTTTGCTATCTCGCATATGCATGCACTCCGGTAGTCATGTGATCCTTAGAAGTAAATTATGCTCTTCATCGCCCCATTAGCAATCCGTAACATAATTAAGATCACCCATGGTATGCTTATAACGCCATTGACCATTCAGACCCATTGGCTTCTACACCCTAGCATGGAATGCTACTCAAGGCCATTCGCACATAATTACGAGTCTGTCAGATCCAATGTATAGCAATTACTATCAACAATTGAGTTTCAAGTAGCTTACTGTACTGTCCCGGTATTTTTCTGCTCGCAATCTCCCTTATCTATTGTCTTATGACATTCTGAAACCCGATCTGATTTGACCGACCGCCGGAAATAACGCCCCCAATCATGCTGTATTTCAACGACATGCAATCAAATTATTGAAAATCATTCCTCTGAATATTGAAAAACAATCGGCGGGATTAGCTGAGATGGATCAGTTAATATTAAGCCTTCTGCATTACAGAGGAAGAGAGATTTATGTCTACGTAGTGGCGGGGATGCTAAGTGGTGGTTTGTATACGGTAATTGGTGCAGATTTGCTGGTAGGAGAGGTGGTAAATACATTAAATAAGTATCTATCTTATTTTGGTAGTTGTATAGTTAATCCAGGACTAATTGATTATGGCGGGGGAGGGGGGATTGGGGGAAATGCTTGACGTGGTGGTGGGCGGATGTGACGTTAATAGGGGGG